CTTAGTTCTCCAGGCCAGGGATCGAACCCATGACCCCTGCAGTGGGAGCGCAGAGTCCTAACCACTGGACCGCCAGGGAAGTCCCCAGTCTATTCTTGAAACAGCTGCCAGACTGCTCCTTTGAAAACATGAGTCAAAGGATGTCTCTCTCTCTGCCCTATTACCTCTGGTAGCTTCTTAATATCACTCCAAGTGAAAATTAAAGTTAAGATAACGGCCGATAGGTCATTCTTGGTTACTTCTCTGCCTCATGTCTTATTGCCTTCTGCCCCGTGCTCACTCTGCCCCTCTCACGCTGGCCTCGTTGATGGTCCTCAGTCATATTGCACAATATCTGACCCCAGGACCGTTGCACTTGCTGTTCCCTCATGATCTACTCCCTCATTGACTTCAGGTCTATGTTTACATGTCACCTGTTTATTTTTTGAGGACTTCCTGACCCCATTGTTTAAATGGCACTTCCATTGAACCCCTGGAATATTCTGTCCCTCTTTCCTGCTTATTTCTGTCTGTTCCATCTGAAGGCAGTATATTTTACTTATTTATCATAGTCATTGTTTGTCTCTTCCTTCAAGAATGTAAGCTCCAGGAGGGCGGGGATTTTTCCTGCTTTTTTGTTTTTGTTTTGTTTGCTTTTATTTTTCTTCTTTTTGCCACGCCGTGCATCATGTGGGATCTTAGTTCCCCGACCAGGGATCGAACTCTCACATTGGGAGCATGGAGTCTTAACCACTGGACCGCCGGGGAAGTCCCCAGGTTTTTCCCGGTTTGTTCACTGTTGTAGCCCAGCACCTAGGACAGTGTTTGGCACAAGGAAGGTGTTGGATCGGCTGAGTTATGAAAGCCTCCTGTCCGTTTGCTTGAGACCGATGACGTGGAGCATCGTTTGTGACTGTCTTTGATGTTGGCCCCAGAAAGCTCTGAAACAGGCCAGGGCAAAACTTCATTTGCACTTATGCCAAGGCAACAGCATGTAGGGGGTCCAAGAAACTCCCGCTTTCCAGTCTAGTCTCATCTAACAATATGCTCAGCAATTCCTTCTCCTTCCTAAAACATGCTCTCAGAGAAAAAGCTGAGAAAAGTTTAAGGTAAAGCAAATATGAAAGGGTAAAATGACTCATCAGCTTAATGTGCTTCAATTCCCAGGGAAATGTGTCTCTATACCAGGTCGAGAAAGGTAGTGTATAATGAGTTCTTACTGAGTATCTGTGAGCGAAGCCACAACTGTGCTAGGTACTTTCCCTCTCTTTAATTCTTATTAAGCTGCCAGGTAATATTATGATTTTTATTTTAAACACAGACAAACAAAAGTTGAGAATGGCCAACTAAAGTATCCAAAGGTAGTGAGTAGCAGAACAGAATTTGAACTCAGATTAGTTCCAAAGCTCACACGCTTTTCGCTGTACCATTCTTCCTTCCTTGAGGAATGAAATGGAGGAGGGGAGGTAGGGGCCCTAAGCTGGAGGTCAAGAAAAGGTCCAGAAGCATGAATCTGTTTTTCACAATTCATCATATTCATTCTGTGTATCTATAGCTTTATCCACTTGTGACGAATCCCCTTGTAGAAAGATTTCCTCATGGATGGGAGCAGAAGCGGGTTTCTGGTCAATCGTTGTTCAAATAGACCCTTCATTCCACTTTGCTTTTCTCTGGTCCCCACACTGTCTGTTCAACAGTCCTGAGTAATCAAGTTGTTGGTCAGCCATCTTGTACGCAGAAATTAAGTACTGGACAAATTGTGAAATTGTCTTTGGAATGTCGAACTCTAAACCTCTCTTGCCTCTGCTAAGATGTCCACGTGTATTAACACAAAGAATTCTTTCTTTATCCCTCCCCCGAGATGCGGTGAGTGTGTAGGGGTCAATTTTTAACCTGCATAGAGCCCATGTTTGAAAATAAAAATTCATTTACTAAAAGGTAACTAAGATCATAATCAGGCTTGGAGGTTGATTTCTAAAGCCTCTCTTAGCAACCAAAGTTATTGGTATCTATCTAAGGATCCACACTGTTAAACTGGAAAAACTCCGCTAAGGAAATTGCATGCCAAGCTAGAGGGTTAATTGTTAACAAATTGATTCAAATGGGAAAGAAGTCGTTTAAAAAATTTGGCTGGATATTCGTAGCCAGAAATTTCACTCACATTTAAAAGATATAATTTAATTTTCATTATATGCGTAATATTATAAGACATTTGGCAAATAACTAGGAGATACACATAATCTCGTCATAACTCATCATGATGCATTTCATTCTAGCCTTTTTTTCCTTGGCCTGGGCATAATTTATTTTAATGATCACATATCTATATCCATCGTATTTTCCCAAATGGCTGTCATTATAACCATTTAAGAGAGAAAGTTCAATTTTCATTATAAAAGTAATAAATGTTATTTTTAGAAAAGTTGAACTGTGATAAAAAAGAAAATAGAAAGGAGACAAAAATCACCCCTAGGCCCATCATCTAGAGACGATCACTCATATCTTGGAGTGCTTACTGGCGCTGTATTTTATGCATGTTGTTGTTGGTTTCTTTCTAATAGTTGCATAATCTCCACTGAATGATTACACTGCAGTCCACCTAACCATTCCCCTGTTATGGGAATTTAGTCAGCTTACAAATTTAGGTAAAAATTTTCCCATAAGTTAGGTCTCCAGAATTATAAAGACTGAGTCATGGGGCACACGTTGTCTTATGGCTACTCCCAAAGTGCGAGTCTTCTCTCTGGAAGTGCTGTCACATTGGGAGCAGTAGGGTATGGGTGGGGAACATTATCAGCCTGTAGTCTGCCTGCCAGCCCGTTTTTTCACTCTACACCCTTTCTCACCTCCTACGCCACCCGCCCTCCCACACTGTCTCCCAAAGAACCATGCCGAAGGTGTGTGCACTCCTGGCTCTTGGCTTTGCTGTTTTCTCTGCTCTACACAAGGCAGAAATTGGTTATCTCTTCATTTGAAGTTTCAGCTTAGGTAAATAGCGGGCGGAGCTTAACCATTCTCTATCATCCTGAGCCAAGAAGGATGACATTGCTCTGGGCTGCGTTTAGGAGGTCACCTCTGTTTGCATAAAAAGCTTTAGAGCGGCCGCTATCTCTCTGGCCTTCTCTCCTCCACATTCTCTCTAGTCGGGACTCCCACATTGGGTTACCTGGTCAGGGGGTGTGTTCTTTGCAGCTGGTGCCCATAAATAATAGCTCCATCATGTACCCCTGAAAATTATGAGGAAGAAAGAGCAGGAAGGGTGCGTGCGTAGGAATGCTTTTTACTGTGTTTACTACACCCAGAGGTTTCATTTGGGGGCGGGGGTTGGCATAATAGCAATAACAATGATAAAAGCTGATATTTGGGGGATGCTCACCGTTATCTCTGGCAGGAAAGGCTGTGTGGTTAGAAGACCAATGTCTGAGATTAGAGGAAAAGGGCCTCCCTCTCCAGTCACTTTTAACAAAGCATCTTTATCTCTGATTTCATTTTTTACATGTTCCTTAACCTCTTCAGAGGTTTGTTGGGAAGGTCACAGAAGATAATTCTAAACTGTAAAGTGATATTCAAATGCACAAAGGTATTGTTATTGTAATTACCCCTGTGCTCTTCAACCATATGCCACTAACCATCAAGAAAAAAGATACACTTCTTGAATGACAAGGTCAATGAATTTCATTTCTTTGAAATTATAGAGTTATTCAAGTTAAACATTTTTTTTCTGGGTACATTTTGTCCATTTCAATGTTTGGGGCAACCCCCCTTTTTTTATTTTAATAAAGTAAAGAGGTTTGGTTTTCTTCACAAAGAACCGTACTGTCAATGAAATCAGACTTTTGAATAAGTAGCAGATGAGTACCACACATTCAAATTTGAGGACCAATTTAAGTAAATAGTTCTTCTTAAATGACAAACCCCATAATAACTAAAGTACCACCAGCTAAAGACATTGAAGTTGAGAAATTTTATTAAGTGAGTATTATTTTTGTGGCATTTAATGAATGCCTGTACATGAGCCTTCCCTTCTCGATGCGACCTCATGTGTCCGCTCTATTAAATACTGTAATCTCCCTCATTCCATCCCAGGAGTGCCTGTTCCCTTCATTTCTGCTCTGCTTTGTATTTTTTCCTTAGCCTTTATCATTATAATCATTACAAAATAATACACAAATCGGTTATCTTTTATATTTGTTGTTTGTCTCTTCACAACTTGAATGGAAGCTTTATAAAGGAAAATATCTTTGTCTGTTTTGTTCACTGATATATCCCAACCACCTTGCAGAATGACCAGTACCTAGTAGGTGCTACATATACATTTGTGGCATAACTTGAATGAAAAGTAATTATATAAAAATACGAATGATATTATACTGGATAATTTTAACTGAGCATTTACTAAGTACCTGGCAATGTGTTTGTATCATCTCATCCAATGTTTCCAACAAATTTATGAAGTGGGTACCGTAGTACCACCAAATTACAGGTGGAGAAACTGACGGTTAGAAATGTGAAAGTACATTTTATAAGGTCTCATAACCAATATAATTAAGAACTTTGATTTAAATCCAAGAAGCCTGACTCCTGTGGACTCTATTCAAGCCGAACAATGTTGCTTGTATTTATTGAGGTACTATTACTGAGATTCTGTGAGATGTCATTCAGGAAAGGAGGTTTCCCTGTGTAAATATTTTTGGCAACCACCGACCCAATGAAATCTTATGTTTGCAGTTCTAAGCCTTGAGCAGATTTCCACGTGATTAAATTCTGTGGCATTTGAGCTATCTCCCCCACCTCTGGTGATTAGTTATTTGGTTTTGCAGAAGAAAAGGTAAACAACTTTTGCAGTGTTAAAGACTTTCTTCTATTCTTATATTTAAAAAACAAAAGACAAAAAAAAAAAAAAGAACTACTCTTCCTCATCTCTTCTCCTTTCTTTGTGTTTTGCTCTGGCTTTGAGTGTTTGGTCTGTGTCAATTCCAGTGACTGCCCCTTTCACATACTCCCTTACACCTATTTTCTAGGAGAATGATATAAACCTGACCCACATTGAATCAAGACCTTCACGTTTAAAGAAAGATGAGTATGAATTTTTCACCTATCTGGATAAACGCAGCATGCCCGCTCTGGCAAACATCATCAGAATCTTGAGGCATGACATTGGTGCCACTGTGCATGAGCTTTCCCGGGATAAGAAGAAAGACACAGGTAAGAGACAGGAATTTTGCAGCACAGATGACCCTACATTCTCATCATAAAATAATGGCAAAAATAATCTCTACCGGGCTTCCCTGGCGGCGCAGTGGTTGAGAGTCCGCCTGCCGATGCAGGGCACGCGGGTTCGTGCCCCGGTCCGGGAAGATCCCACATGCCGCGGAGCGGCTGGGCCCGTGAGCCATGGCCGCTGAGCCTGCGCGTCCGGAGCCTGTGCTCCGCGACGGGAGAGGCCACAACAGTGAGAGTCCCGCGTACCGCAAAAAAAAAAATAATAATAATAATAATAATAATCTCTACCCTGGAAGACCAGGATTAAGTGAGAGGATATAGGTTAGGGACACAGACGAGTACCTGGCATATTTAGACATTTAATAAATGTTCTTTTCTCCCTTCCTCAAGATAGCTGTTTCTTATATTAGTTGTCTTCTGCTGAAATTTTTATATATTTTTCATTTGTGGATTATTTTGCTCTCATTTTCATAATTTCTAGAGGTAAGATGATTAGGGTATCCAGGGTGCTTTCTATATAAATATAATTTCAAGACAAATTCTTTAGTTATCTCCATTTCATCTCATAGCCTCTCCCCAAGTCTTTCTCGTGACATGTCAATTCTGGAGCTGGAGCTCCTTGGCTCTGTTCTTAGGTCTTTCACTGTCTCTCTGTCTCTTCCACTAGATTACAAGCTCCTCGTGGGCAGGGAGAGTCTCTTACCTATGTTAATATCCTCAGCGTTTAGTACAGTGCTTAATACACTGCTCTCAGCAAATGCTTGTGAGTGATGGCTAAACAGAGCAGTTGTCATGACTTGTCCTGCCCCCTTATTTACTTACTGAAATTGCTACCGAGTCCAAATTTGTTCTGCTGGGGGCATGGCAGGCCAATAAATCAGGAGAGGAGTTCTTAGGGCAAGGAATAACGACTTTATTCAGAAAGCCCTCAGACGGAGAAGATAGCAGGCTAGTGTCTCAAAGAACCATCTTACCTCATCAAAGAATTCAGGCCTTCACTGATACTAAAAAGGTGAAAGAGTTTGTTTGTTGCAAACTTCTTGGTGCAGGAATCCTTTGTTCTTGCAGGTGTCCACATAGGTCAGGTCATGATATTCCTATAAACCTCCAACAAAACAAATACTATTCTCTGTTCTGCAACTAGTTATCCCTGTATGTATGAACTCTTAGAGGTCAGAGCCCTGAGAATAGGCTATCCTGTATATTTCAGGCTATAGACAACATTCTTTTACAAAACGTGCAAAGCCATCATGACTAAGCACAAGCAACAGAGTACAAAGGTTAAAGTAAAAGAAACAGCTCTAATATGGAGTCAGATTTGTTCTTCCCTATTACAAAATGTAATTGATGTGCCCTGGAGGGGAGTAGGGCAGTAGAGTGAAGGAATTAGGAGTATGGGCTTGGGGTTGGACAGGCTTCAGTTCAAGTCCTACTTTTTCCACTTATTGGCTTTGAGACCCTTGACAAGTCTCTTTAACTGCTCTGACCTCAATTTTTCATAGGGCTTTTGTGAGGATTAAATGAGATCTTCCATAGTCTGGTGCTTAGAACAGTGCCCAGCTGGTTAAATGAGAGTATGTGATGGTTGTTAAATTGATGAGCCATGCTAATACATTATTATTAACTAAAGGCTATACATTAGGGATCATGCTTTGTATTGTGTAGTTCTGTTGGTTTTGGTAAATGCATAATGTCATGTATCCACCATTACACCTCATGCAGAATGGCTGCAATGCCCTAAAAATGCCCTGTTTTCCCCCTGTTCATCCCTCCCTCCTTATCCCCTCCCCCTGGCAACCACTCATCTTTTTATTGTCTCCATGATTTTGACTTTTCCAGAATGTCATGCATTATGAATATGGAATTATAGAGAATATATCCTTTTTAGACTGTTTTATTTTTACATTTAGCAAGGTTCCTCCATGCCTTTTTGTGACTCGATAGCTCATTCTTTGTAATTACTGAATAATGTTCCATTGTATAGATGTACCACATCTTCTTTATCCATGGGTAAGGCCGTTAAACATTCATGTGCAGGTTTTTCTGTGGACGTAAGTTTTCGACTCATTTAAGTAAATACTTAGAAGTGTGATTGCTGAGATGAACTACTTTTTTCCCATATAATCAAAAATTTTTTTCTACCGTAAAATCAAAAGCTTTTTTTCTAGCCAAAACATTGAAGACTAGCTCAAGATGATTTCAGGCTCTGTACCTGAAAATGGTATGTTAATAGGCAGAGATGCTTTAAAATGAGACAAGACCCACCTCTTTGCATAGGCCATTGAAACATTTTCCAAAAGACACCTCCGAGGCCATCCTAGGAGACCTCCTCTCTTCCTGCTCGTGTCCTCCTGTGGCTGTAACCAAGACAAGGAAGGCCATCCTGGGCTTCTGCCTTGGCCAAGGGTGCACAGCGATGCACACGGTCTCTGGTCACTGGGGGCGCGTACGTGGAATTCCTCCTCAGATTAACCCTATCTGCCTTCCTTCCTCTTCCACCTCCCAAGTGAGCTGCTGCCCCGATGACAATGGCCTTCTCTTGCTTTTCCGGCCACCTGCTCCCAACAGGAGCCACAGGCCCTCAGGGCAAAGGGCCTGCCGGAATCGTGGGTCAAGCTCTGCCTCTGCTCAGAGCAGGTAGAGGGCAGGCCAGCTGGGACCCTGGGGTCGGAAATCAAAGCAACTGACAGGCAGGCAGGCAGCCCCCTGGGGAGGCAGGGAAGATGCAGAGATCGGCTGAAGGGCAGGCAGCCTGAACGGGAGGCTCAGAAATAGGATGTGGAAGAACAGTTAGGAGCCCAGACTCCGGAACCAGGATACACACTTGGTGTGACTTTGGGCAAATTACTGATCACCACAGTCTATCACTGTATCAGATGGGAGTACGAGTCTCTGCCTCACAGGATTAATGAAATAACACCAGTGGAGCACTGAGAACAGAACCGAGCATGTTTAAGGGCTTAACAGAAGTTCTCTATTCTTAGCATTATCATCCTTGTTATTATAAATTATGACCTGAGCACGGGAGCCATGAAAAGCCAACCTGTACACAACTACGTTTTCGGAGATTCTGGGAACTAGAAAATAACCTCACAGGTCAGGCAGCCCAACAGACTCCTTAATTTTTCATCATAAAGAATGGAGGCCGTGACTTGCCTTAAGGCACAGAGTGAATTCTGTGCAGTTGTGGGCAAGCGGATGTCTAACACTGCTCTGTGCCTGGCACCGTGCTTGGAGCTGGAAGGAGAGACAGTCAGCACGGCCTGTCCTTCGTGAGCTCATAGGCTGGCGAGGATGACAGGACAGCCAGGTGAATACAGAAGAGGGGCGGGCGCTGTGATGGAGACCCGGCTGGTGGAATTCTCCACTTTTCTCTTCTCCACTTTTGACTCTGAGGATCCAGCAAGTGTGAAAGTGAAGAAGCCAATGTTCTGACCCAGAGGCACCACGTCATCAGTGTTGGGCTCGTCAGAGGTGGAACGTGGCACAGGTTTGATTCCCTGATGGGGCTCAAAATGGCAGGGCGTTGACGTTTAACGTTGGATTGATATTTTACCTAGTGAGGAAAAAACTGCTCAGACTAACCCTTTAAAACAACATGTGTTTCTCGACCCTTATTTCTTTGGATGGTTGTTCACCCTGTTCCATATTGGCTGCCACTCCCTGACACGGTTTCCTGACCTTCATGTCCACGTAACGGACCGGCTGATCTCGATGCAGTGATGCCGAAACAGCCCAGATTTGCACCTGCTGAGAGACATGGGCCCTTTGGGTTTCTGGGGTAGTTTTTGTGAACTGGAATCTGGGCCCAGAAACAGACCATTTTAGGGGAAACAACCATCCCTTTGCAGAATTGTTCTTTCCGTCGAACTCCACAGGAGGATGATTAGAAGAAGAAAGGCATCATCACAGATCCGAACCTTTGATTCTTTCACTTGACAAAATGCCCTTTCTCTTGAGGGGCTCAGATCTCAGGGGCGAGTCTGACAGCAGGTTGAAGGGGAGAGATCTGAACCCCTCAAATCAATTAGGCTAAACCACTTTCCATTCTAGTTTTCAAACCGTTCAAAAGGCCGTGTGGGCGCTAGAAAATGAAAGTTTTCAGTTTCTTAATTGCTAAAGTTCCCCACCCAAAACAGCTTAAGGGAAGGCTAATTATGGTGACATGTTAAAGAAACCCCAACCTTCTAAAATGCCTCCTAGAGAAGCTGATGGGAGTTTAATAGGATTTTAATCCAGAGAGTCTTTTGAATACTTGAGGTCTATTCTCCTGCTACCCTCTCTCCTGATGACCCCAAATCCTTCCTCAACCCAACATGAAAGAGCGTTAATATCTTCCATCGATCAATCTACTAATCCTTTTACCTTCCCTTTGAGTCTTCTGCATGACATTACATTGAGCGGGGGGGAATGGAAAATTCCTGCATGGAGCCAGATTGCAGCCAGGAGAAGCAGATGGACAAAATGACTTGGCTAGACAGAGGTGTAGGATCATCACATTTTGAGACATTTATCCGTTTGGCGTTATTTTCCAAGAGCGCTTGGCCATTGAGCAGATTTCGTTCATGCTGTGGTGATTGTAAGGGTCTTGCTGTGGAAACAAAGGGAGTCCAGACTGCCAGGACAACTGCAATTTTCTGTGGGGAGTAGAAAGGCTATTTCTTTATGTATTCATCTCTCTATCTACTACCTATATCTAGCCTAGGGGCTCTTATGATTTTATGTGTCTTCTTATTTGGATTAATTCCTGAAGCGAGACGACAAAGTAACATCATTATATTTATTCCTTCTCTCATATAGGCCCCTCTCCCCTCCCAGCCCTCTTGAGTGTTTCCCTTTTCTGCTTCAACATCGCTGCCGTGAAAGGCGGTGCCATGATAAGGCTGAAGTTTCAGATCCATCGTGGGAGGAGGAAGTTAGGGTTCCACGGAGGAGTCTGAAAAGCCCCTGGGATTTTGGGCAAAATGGTACATGTGCACCTG